AATGATATTTTGCCCTTAATTGATGAAATTATGTTATTTTGAGAAACAAACTGCATATATGCTGTCAGGGAAGTATGCCAAATGTAGAAAAGTTCATTTGGAGGAATTTCGTCGTTGTTTGGCGATATTCAAATTTTGTGCGAAAAATGATATTTTGCCCTTAATTGATGAAATTATGTTATTTTGAGAAACAAACTGCATATATGCTGTCAGGGAAGTATGCCAAATGCAGAAAAGTTGGTTTGGAGGAATTTCGTCGTTGTTTCGCGATATTCAAATTTTGTGCGAAAAATGATATTTTGCCCTTAATTGATGAAATTATGTTATTTTGAGAAACAAACTGCATATATGCTGTCAGGGAAGTATGTTGAAACATGATCAAGCTAGCACTATTATGATGATGGTGAAAAGATGAGCCTATATGTTTAAGGATCAGAGGTTTGTCTCAGTTCATTAGAAAAGTAAACTTGTCTGTGTTACATGTAGGTGTATAAAGTGGGGAAACATCTATGTTATCGGTCTGTAAAGGTGACAATTCTGTCACAATTGTACAGACAACATTTTACTACAAAATCGTGTTACAGTATCGACAAGTCCGTTGTTACAGGGGACTACAGTTATGTCATCCGGCTATAGTTACTGTTCCTTGGTGACAACTGAGTCACATAAAGGATAACCATACCTACTCTCCAAGGAGACGTTTTTATGCTTTTTTTATCGGGGGTTCTTTTTTTGCACTGGAATATTTTATGGCAACCTAGAAAACCCAAACCTCTGCTTGGAGAACCATACCCTGTTTACCTAACCTATTTTAGCTTACCGAATCTTCTTTGTCCTCACTGCAATTCTATTTGACAAATACCCATATGACCATTTGTTATATGATTCCCACACACTACTAATGGAGATCCCAAACAAACAACAACAGCCCACACACTCACGAGTCACGACACTGCTCTGAAACTGTTGCCTTGCTTGAATATTAGACACGTTCCGTTACGCAGTGTGATAGCAAATTCTATGTAACTGTTATATATGATCTCCAAGCAGACCTTTTCTGGTGGCTGCAAATTTGTAATAGGTAGAATGCAAAGACAGTATCATCCATTTGCCACCCTAAGCAGGCGAAAAAAGATACCAGAACAAAAAGAAAGCCTGAGTAAAAACGCCCAAAAGCACGCAAAAGTAGCAAGCTGTATGAATTGTTGCAACTGGCTGTGCTATCACCCGCCGCATCTACTAGACTTAAATAAGGTATCTTTTCCCCCAAAGTGTACGGAAGCTAGCCTCTACCAGGCTCCGCGTATCGCTGGAAAAATAGTAGAAATTGGCCGAAATAAAGGGATAGTACACCAGAGAAGATCCAGCCGGCCATAGAAGCTCCAATTTGCGACCCACGGGTGTACTATCCCTTTATTTCGGCCAATTTCTACTATTTTTCCAGCGATCCGCGGAGCCTGGTAGAGGCTATACGGAAGCTTCTAATACACCCAAGGTCGAGTTGAAGCTCTTTGCCATATACCTAATCCATATCTGCGAGTTTAATACTAGTAGTACTAGTACTTAGTCTGACAGAAATGTATGCATGAATTACGGTCCAGACAGCTTCCTCTCGCTGTTGCCAATTTGCTTTATGATCCATACCCTGGAAAGCCAGAGTACAAGCGGGTGGCGGCTGATTCCTTATCGGCCCGCTAAGCACATATGCCCCGAAACACGATCCAGCCGGCCAGGGTAGGTTAGCGCCCCCGCAGTACTCTGGTAGGGCGAGATACAGATGCCATTCTGTAGGCACAGAAACTGTGCGAAGAACGGCTATTGGTCAGATCACCCGGCAGTGCCGAACGCAAGCATGATTGGCCAGGCCGCCCGACCGCCTGGAGGTCGCCGCGGCGCGATATTTGCATACCATTCTACAGCCAACATGGATGCCAGCAAAGCTGTAGAAGATGCGATCTCGAAAGCCCTGTTGACCGTGGAATCTGTAGATTCCTTGAAACCCGAGCAGCATCAGGTTTTAGAGAACTTCCTGTGCGGCCGGGATGCTGTAGGACTTCTCCCTACTGGATTTGGTAAATCGCTGGTTTACCAGCTCGCGCCCGCTGTAGCAGGACATTTGCTGTCGAGTGCGTTTTGTCCCGAGCACATAAAGACGGCAGACTACCCTATTCTTGTCGTCTTATCACCCCTTCTGGCGCTTATAAACGACCAGGTGTTGGAGGCCAGGCAACGTGGAGTGTCTGCAATGTCGTTGTGTAGCGCCAGCCCAGCCGAGGAAGCACAGATTCAGTCGGGGAAGGTCCAGTTAGTATTCACTAACCCCGAGACGGTGTTGGAGCCAAAATGGAAAGATGTGCTGCAGAACGAGCGGTTCCAGAGAAACGTCATCGGGATCGTGGTCGATGAAGTCCACAAAACACCGAGTTGGTAGGCACACACAGACATTTTCTTGGCACGTTTTAACATTTTGTGGCCTTTGAACGCGTAATAAATGCACATAAGAGCTTGGTAGCGTTACAAATGCGAGCTAATGCGAGCGCCCCCCTCCCCCCTGCATGTGACAACGTACCGCGGTGCATGTTTGACAAGTGTGTGCTTGCAAAATTTGTGTGAATAATTTAGTCGTGTGGCACGTCGTATTTTTTTGTTGAACCCTTCTAGTATTCATGAATACTTCTTAACTTTCAGGGGAGAGGCAAAGAAAGGTGGAAAGCCCTTCCGGGAGACATTTGGCAGGATCGCAGAGCTCCGGTCTTTATGCAAGCAAGGTAAGAAGTGATCCCTATTTTGAGATTCAACATTCGTCCACTGCTATTTACTGTTTTCTTGTATTGTTATCCGCCTCTGCCGGCATTGATAGGGTGATTTGTTCGACTACAAATTGTCACCATTTTGGTTGTTGACCGATGTTTTCTTTCGCATAAGTTGACCTCATTTACGTCATTGTCATTATAAACCTGTTTTGTATATATTCATAAGATCTCCAGTCGGCCCTGCTTGTTCTTTTTTCATGTTGGTGAAGAGTGCAAATTTTATTGTCAAGTGGAAATTTTTGATGTGTTGTAGACTTTATCTAACCAAGGACATTATACTACAAGATTTAACTTAAGATTTCCGCCAGCATAGTGGTACTGTGGTTAGCTACAGTAATCCATGTATACAACAGTTATATATAACGTTATTTACATATTTTATCTGTCCACAGGGATTCCTGTTCTGGCCCTCACAGCTTCAGCCGACATGGAGACCCGGAAAGACATTGTGAGGCTCCTGAACCTCAACAGAGACACAGTGTTCGTGGAAAGGAGTCCCAACAGAACCAACATCCGACTTGCTGCGGTGAGAATCAAGCCATCTGATTATTCATGTCTGGACTGGATTGTGTCAGGTGTACAAAGGGAGGGGAACAATTTTGGGAAGACGATAGTATATTGTAAAGACTTTAAAACTGTAGGTGCAGTGTACTGCCACCTTGTTGCATCCCTGGGTGATCAAGCCTATGTTGGAGAGAAGCTATCTCGAAACTGTAGAGTAGGAATGTACCACAGTGAGACATTGCCAGAGAAGAAAGAACATGTTCTAGTTTCATTCAAGTCTATGTCTCAACTTTCTGTCGTTGTCGCGACCACAGCATTGAGTATGGGAGTGAACTTCCCAAATGTCAGGTACGTTGTTATGTATGGTCCTCCTGAGACCATGGAGGACATGATGCAGCAGATAGGGAGAGCTGGGCGGGATAAGCTCCCATCTCATGGTATTTTGTACAGCTATGCCCAGCAGAGGTGTGATAACAATGTTAGACAATATACAAAGAGTACCTCTTGCCTTCGAACCACATTGTATAACCATTTTGAATGTAACAAAGCAACTGTACCATTGGAAGTTGGACATGAGTGTTGTTCAGTGTGTCATAAATCATGTAAGTGCAACCCCTTGACCAACTTGTGTGATGTACCCACTCCAGTGTTTGAAAGCCCACATAATATTGTAACTGAATCTCCATCAAAAGTCAGAAGTGTCAGTGAGGATCAGAAAGAGTTGCTGAGAGAAGGGCTATACCAGTATAGACATTCCCTGGTCAAGAATAAGAGACTTCTGCTGTCAGTCGAACAAACAACAGGATTTACAGCTGAATTGATAGATATTGTTGTAGAAAACAGTGCTTTTATTTTCTCTGTTCCATACATTCTGCAAAATCTCCCTGTCTACTCTGAACAACATGCTCACTCAATCATGTACATAGTTAACAAGGTGTTTGAAGATAATCTAGATCTAGATGATCTACTAGATGCAATTGAGGAAGACATTGAATCTGAGGATGTGCCATGTCCTACAATACCAGATAGCTGGACCAACTCTGATCCTGGAGATGACGGTGATGATGATGTGTCTCACCTAGATGACTATTTCTATAGTGAACAGGAAATCTTGCATTATGTACACTTGTTTGCTGACTGATGACACATAATCAACGTAAGAAACACAATCTTCCTGTCTTCATCCTGTTTATGTACTCATTTTGTACAAGTCTCTGGCACTGTATGTACATTAGTGGCTGTTTGCAACAACATTCTTTTCCTATCTTGTATATAGGCAATCTAAATGTGACAAGTTACATTGCATTGGATTGTTTGGTTTTGGAATATGACTGGTTTACCTGTATCTTGCAACAATGTTCTTTTCTTTCTTCATATGTACATAGGCAAACCAAATATATCCGACTGTCAAGATAGATTACATAGATTGTTCAGTTGTGGGATATGACTGACTGAACTGTATCTACAACATAGTCATATATTTTATCACATGTATATGTACATAGGCAATCTAAATGTTACATTGCATTGGATTTTGAATATGACTGGTTTATCTGTATATTGCAACAATGTTCTTTTCTTTCTTTATATGTACATAGACAAACCAAATATGTCTGATTGTCAAGATTGATTACATAGATTATTTGGTTTTGGGATATACTGGCTGAACTGTATCTACAACAGTGATATACTGTATCACTTCATGTCCCAGATTACAAGGGATTTGACTTTGTTGACAGAAAACTTTACAATATACAATACAGATTCTGTACTGCTCACAATGTGTCTTAGTGCTTCATTCACATTGAACATTCAAATAGAAAAAATGAAATAAAATGAAAATTATCTCATCTCAATACTTGGGGAGAAAGACTGAGAACACTGGTATTTTACTCATACAATGCCTTCCAGTGTTTCAACTTAGACTGCATCCAATATGCCATTTGGCTAACATTTAACTTTGCCAGTAGGTCTCGCTGAAAACCTGGGAAAGCATTGTACTGTCTGCCTGGCTGATACTCAAGCACGTTTGCTTGCTCATACTGTTCCACGAGCTTGAAGATGTCCTCAGTGGGATCACCTTTGTGATGGTAGCCTCTTGCCCGAGTTACACCTAGGTCCGAATCAATACGTTTGAGGATGGCCTCCAACTGTCCAATACAATCTGCAATTCTGGCAGCAGTTGTTTCGTTGAGGTTAGGGCCAAGGTGTTTCAAGAAGGCCTTCAAAAGATTGTTCATCTGCTCGAGCCTAAGGTCCAAGGGTATGTTCCTCCCCTTGCCACCAGCAGTGTTGATGAACCTGTTCCACTTGAGGCTGTGGGCAAGGTTTGCTGGCAACAAAGCTTCCACTCTGACAAAGAAGAGGAACGTACCCATAGCGTACTTAGTGTGACCGTAGGCTCGGAAGAACAAGAGGGCCATCTTGAGACACCTTGCTACCCTTTCCCCATCCCCTTCACGCGTTGCGTCCTTGAGGTTCTTAATCAAAAGTGCCATGCTCAGCTTTGCAGCTTGGTAGTTTTTGACGCCATCCTCTTTAGATTTCTCGGAACTCTGACTGCGGGGTACATAAAGGTTATGCTTACTCTGCTCGTGGAGTTCCCTAGCTCTTGGTCTTACGTACGACTTATTGCAGCCTTCTTGCCTACACTTGAACCTAGAGCTCTCAATACCTTCAACTATCCTGTTGGTGGCAGCAGCTTCGTCCTGGAATGCGAGGTCGACAATCTCGGCTGCCCTACTGTGAAGCCAGTCACTTCTCGTGTGCCGGTCTCCATCCATGATCTGGTCCGGGACGATGGATTCAGGTGGATCTGAGGAGTAAACAATAACAATAGAGACTAGTCAGTTGCTTTACCTTAAACAGATTTACAATACCATACTGAGTATGGATGGTAATAATAACTAGGATAACAAGGCTACCCCCCCACCAAAAAAAAACAACAGTGGATTATTGAAGACTTCTTGGCTACTCAAGAACAAGAGGGAAAGTTCTGTTGTTCACTGTTCTTATGTACTCTACCCTTCCCTTCCCTGGAAGACTAGCTGTCACCCAATACACCACAAATGTCTTTCGTACTGTCTCCAGCCTCTTGTCGACACATATGCCAGAATTTAGCCATTGCAACTAATAGGGTAGAGAGTGATGTAGCATGATTATTATATTATTACTCTAAAGACACTTTTACTTAGGGCATACCGTGTTCGCTCTGTAGGCGGAATATCTTCTTCGCTGCACAGATGATGAACGCAATCCGGTCTTTCTCAAAGAGCTCACTCCATGCGTCGTAGGCTGCATGAGGACCCTTCCTGGCATTGGATGCACCGATGACGTTCATGTTGGCACGTAGTGAAGCGCGGTCTCCAGCTGAATTTTTGTCGAAGATGTCGTTGTAGGTCTGTGGATGTAAAAGAAAAGTATGGTCAGAGCATGGTACCTACTCTTGTCTAACTCCTGTCTGCTTAGCATTCAGCACCTGCATGTGAAAGAGTACAGATTAGCCCCTCGCCGTAGTGGTAAATGCACCTGTCTGTGTTACATCATAAGGTGTAGAAAGAACAGTTTCCAGTTATTTATGTCAATTGTACACAGGAGGTAGGATACATACATAAATGTCATGCACATGTCAAACATTTATCAAACTGACCACGCAAAGGGTCCTCGTCTGGTGCCATAGCTCATGCTTAGGCTGCACTCCATCCAGTCGCTCTGCTGGTGTGTCACCATCTTTGAAGGCGGCCTGGACCCCCTCTGCCCTTTCTTCAGTCAGCCAGTCCCCACCAAGCAGAATTCGCTGCACGATGGCTGTTATGTTGCCGTCTTCGTCGACTTCACAGGGGACGTAGTTCGTCTGAATGGTCCTCAGGATGTCCGTCATGTCCTTGCTCAAGTTCTCATTTTTGAACTGCAGCCCTAACCAAGTCTGGAGGAAGAAGAAACAATGTAACCAAGACTGAAGGCAGAAGAAACAGTACTAGTGTAACCAAGATTTAAGGATGAAGAAAACAATGTTAACATGTACAGTGTGCATGCGATTTGCATTACTTGTCTAGATGTTGTCTAGAATTGAGTACGTAGAATTGAGGGAAACAAAGCTGTTGGTTTTTAGTATTGAAACAATCATATCATGCATATTTAAGCCAACCCCCCTCCCCTGAGTCCCCTTAATGAACACTTGAAGAAACCTCACCTGCTCTGAAGGCTGCTCCATCTCAGCAGAGTACTCGTGTGGGATGTGCCGCACCACGACATCCTTGAACACCTTGAAGGCGGCCAGGTACTTCACTAGATCTCTGACAACAAGGATGGTGTAGTCCCTCTTTAAGTCCAGCTGGACTTGTTCAGTGGGCATGGCTTCCTCCAACCGGAAGTCGTCCAGTGATTTCTGTGGCCTGTCATCTCCAGCCCTGGTCTGTGACCGGTCAAGTGCCCCGTACTGCTGTATCCAATGAATTAGCTGGTTCAGGCTGCTGGATGATTGGTGCTTTGCTGATATTGTAAAGTCAACATTGTCAATGATGATCTGGTAGGTTTTGAGAGGGGTTTCTGTTGCTGTCTTGGTTGCTTTGATGACTATGTCTAGGGGGGAATGTCCTTGGTCTTGTGCTGTTATGCTGTTGATGGCTTGTTCGGCAAGTTTGTAGGTTTCTTCCTTATACCCGGCGATGCTGTTTAGGATCTCTGTGAGTGTGACTGCAGGAGCTGTTGGTTTCTCTTCAGACAGCGGCATCACTCCCAAGTCCAGGTCCATAGATGGTTGTGGAGGCTCGTAGGTCTGGAAGCTGAAGTCTAAGTCCTGGAGGTCTGATGAACTGATTGTGCTCTTTCCCGATGTGTCCAGGCTGGCTTTCCTGTCCACCCGCTCCTGCTCCTGTAACTCTTCACGGAGGGCATTCAAGAGGGAAACGGTCTCCTTTTGTGCTTCAACGTGAGATTTCCAGGCGAGGACTGTGTCATCTCTTCCCTGGCCGAACTCTGTCTGCTTCTGCAATGTCATCGTGTGTGACATACAAAGCTGCTGCTTGTTCAGCCGTTCGTAGACAACTTTTTTAGCCCCGCCATGCAAAGCTACAAAGCTGTTACGATACTGAATGGCAGACAGCTTTGGGTGTCGCACACGAAGTAATACAGATGCAGCTGTGCACCTGGCTGTGCGACTGTCGTCCCCACATGCACCCTGCAGACAGCTGTTTAGCCATGGCGCATGGCTCTTCAGTTCTTTGTCAAAGTTCTCCAGCTTGAAGCTCAGGAGGTCTTTGGGCGCCGTCCGACCAAGTACTGAGACAGCTCCCAGCATTTTCCCTTCCTGTGTAATTGCCTCTGCAACTTTACCCCTCAAAGCTACAGTCATCTCTTCGTGTTTCAGGATGCTGCTTGCGGCGGCACCCCACTTTCCATTTGTTAGTTGCTGTACAATGGACTTGACTCCTCCCTCCATCTTCTTTACCCTTGGGACCTTGTCCGAAGGAAACTGCACATGCACCTAACAGAAATGGAGCAAAATAAACATAAGGTTTTCGACTGTTAAACATACAACACATCTGTAAGTTTGAGAGATGATATTTGCAAGGAACTATTGATCATGTTTACCTTCACATTGTGTGGCCCAGGAAAAATGTTGTTTCCTGTTTCCTGACCGACCTTAGAAAATTTACTGACCATAGATTTTCTTGTGTGGACACCCCCCCCCCAACCCCTGATCAACCTTTTCTAGCTGAGCATCTGATGAAAAATTTACACCAATGACATTATACACAGTCCTTGATTTACACTGGAACTAAAAGTATTGTCATTCAAGTTTCCCAATGCCTTACAAACTGCTGCTCTGTTTACTTTCTCAAAAGTGCAAACACATAGACATTTTTAGAATTTGACAAAACTAACTAGGCTAGCGAAACAACACCAGTAGGATAGCAAAACAACACCAGTAGGCTAGCAAAACCCCTAGGCTAGTGAAACAACACCAGTAGGCTAGCAAAACAACACCAGTAGGCTAGCAAAACAACACTAGTAGGCTAACAAAACAACACTAGTAGACTAACAAAACAAAAGAAAACAAGTAGGCTATCAGAACAGAAACACAGCAATAATTTTGAGTGGCCTGAAGTTCATTGTAACGTATTGAACACACAGTGAAAAACTTCTGAATACATTGTATTTCTATCTCAGAAGAAATATGGAGAATAGAAAGTGACAAACTTCTTAGCCAAACAGTATCATGGTCAATACCCGGACTAATTAACAGTATTTTACAGACAGATTAATGACAGTTTTTCTATTATTGCTCGCTATGAATACTTGCCTTTGTCGAATCTGGGGAATTATTTATCAACAATTCCATGTTTAGTTCAGACAAACGCCAAAAAAATCTATGGTGGCCATTATGTCTACTCATGCCTTGTAAAAAATGTTGTGTTTTGGTTTCCCAACCGCTAGGCCTCACATGGTAAGTCCTAGTGGGTAATTCCTAGCCTCTACCAGGCTTGAGGAGGCGGCTGGAAAAAGTAGAAATCGGCCAAAATAGAGAGATAAGCATGCCAGGGGAGTTCGGCCCCACAACTGGGGCGGCGAACTGTTCTCTCAACGGCCAAATTCCCCTGGCATGCTTATCTCTCTATTTTGGCCGATTTCTACTTTTTCCAGCCGCCTCCTCAAGCCTGGTAGAGGCTAGGTAATTCCGCCAACCAGAAAAGCCAGATCTCCTCCGCACTTACTCCTAGTAACTTACTCTGCACTCCTGGTATATCTAAATCATTATATGAGAACAGTATGACGAGCTCGAGAAAAGCTTCGCCTTTAAACTGCTACGCACTTTTATCGGGAACGTAATCGGGAACGATGTAACGCGTTAAAATTCACCAGAGCATAAAAAAAACTACAACTAAAGTTACATACCTCAACTTTCGTAGCATCGCCACCGCTTGGAAAACTGTCCCTGTGGCTGTTCTGCGGTGGGGGAGGGATGTTCTCGCTGCTCGACGTCGTTCTTGTTGACGTAGTTGATCGCTTTCTTGCAGGTGACTTGCCTGGGGTGTAGGTAAGTCCCCGCCTCTTCGTAGACGTACCGCGGACACTCGGGCTTGGTGGTGGCTGTCTGTGTGCCGGTGACTTGCTTGGTGTGGTGTACGTCAGTCCTCTGGCATTTCTTGGGCTGCTCGGTTCTGTAGTCACTGGAGTTTTGTCCTTCCACGCTGTCAATGTTGCCTGGACTTTCTCCATCCTTGGGATCTGCCGGTAACATGCCTGGCATATTACATCCGAGAGAGTCGGGTCTCTCTCGATGGGAACCCCCAGTCTTTGTAGTCTCGCTGCTGGAGTTTCAGTATCCTGGCTGCTGCGCTTCAACTTGAAGAGGTTGTTAGCGTGATGAATGATTCCATTGATCATCAGGGACTTTTGACAAAGCCTACACTTTGGGTCGTCTTTCTGGCTCTTACAAACAGCGGCGCCGCCTGGGTTTGGCGGACGAGAGGACAGCATCGTGCCTGTCCCCTAGTCCTTCCAAACTGATAGCCATGGTGTGCCGACCAGCCGAATTTAACAGGAATTTCCCTTTGATGTGCACCTTCTCTCATGGACATGTCAAATGCCCACCATAAAACAGATAATCCTGAAAACAGTCACGAACTTCCCGCGAAATACACGAGCCACCTTGCAAGGGTTTCCCCGCTCATTTGCATAAATGACGTATAAGGCCCAAAATAGTGTCGGCAGCATAAAGGCCCGACGGGATCGTGTTGTTGGTGAAATTAAATCGAAAGGGTGAATTTTGGCTACATTTTTATCCCAATGAAGCTCATCCAACCATAATTTCAGGCTCTTACTTCTTCCAAACTGATAGCCACGGTTATCTCGCCAGCCACAGCTGAACTCAATTTCTCTTTGATGACCACCTTCTATCATGGTCGTGTCAAATAAAACAGATATATGGAAACAGTGAGTTACGAATTTCGCACTAGTAACTTCCCGCGAAATACACGAGCCACCTTGCTAGGGTTTCCCAGCTGATTTGCATAAATGACGTATAAGGCTCAAACAGTGGCGGCAAGCACAAAGAGCCGGTGACGCTTTTAGCACGTTGAAAACGTTACATTTTCGTCTGGATGAACTTCCTCGCACCATCATGTGCGTTTTCTGAACACCGCAACGTACCGCAACGTGGTCAATATTGCTCCCGACTGACAGAGTTTCTCTTCATTTGATTTTTATTTGTTTACCGGGGTTTTATGTCGCCACCTTGCCAGGGTTTCCCTACCAGGGTTTCCCGCTGATTTGCATAAATGACGTATGGCTCAGACAATACCGGCGCGGCAAGCACAAAGAACTACTAGCAAGGAAGCGGTGGCGATTTTATGAAAACATGTCGAAAGCATGTCTTTTGTCTAGGTGCATCTCCTTGCCTACTTGCAGCATTAATTTTCATTTAATTTTTACAGAGATTATTTACATGTTGCCAATTCGGCAACGTTGTCTGTGAATTCCTCCTAAAACTTGCATCTGTAGTTAGAACACTCAAGACAAGGCACAGAGTTCACAACAACGTAACCTGCCAATCAGATTGTAATGTAGGGCCTTGATAGTACCTTGCTAGTATGCACAAAAAGAACTTAATAATATAAATCACTACAAGATTTTGTAAAGAAACACACATGTTTTCATAACTTCTCATAGCGGTGCGAGGAACACAAATAACCGGCAACTCTTTGAAATTGTCGCTGGTGTACGATAACACGATGTCACTTCCGTATGAAACAGATTTTCTCACCCGGATACTGATTTGCAGGTCATAAAACACGTTTGTTTGTCCGATTGGCAGAGATATCCCTCAGTCTATTCACAATTTTCCACTCTCGCCACTTTCATGTCATTCCCCCATCTGTTTATGTACGACCAAGGCACGCTACACGCCGAGTTGCAAAGTAAGCACTGGATCAGCCTGAACAGAAGGTATGTTGTATAGCGTTTTATCAAATCAATATTCGTTTTTAGAAGTCAAATGTCTATTCCATGAAATCAGAAAGAACTTTTGTGTGCACAGGCTAAAGTCTTATACCAAAACACACACTAGACCTACTAGTAAGTATTACAACAGTACTTTATTGTTTACCATCCTTTCTGGTTTGAACTTCTTTTGAGCGCAGGATTATGGACTAGATGGGCAATTCTTTATAATTTTGTGTATCTGTTTCACTTTCAGACATGGACGACAATGAGGCAATCTGCTCCGGGGTTGAGTCGCCAGACAGAGGAAGTTGTAGTCAAGATTTGGGGCCACCTCTCTTCTCGTCGACCCCTACATACTACGCCGAGTTCAGCGAACTGTTCGATGCTGAGACGTGCCCATTCGACGTCAGTTCAGAAAGCGAGGACGCCAGCGAACAAGACCTCAGCGGCGTCCTGTTTCCGTGCTCCACACCCGACGTCGCCGGTGGAGAAAGCCAGGACGTCAGCGCCAGCGAACAAGACCTTAGCGGCGTCCTGTTTCCGTGCTCCACACCCGACGTCGCCGGTGGAGAAAGCGAGAACGCCAGCGGACAAGACAGACGCGACATCCCCGCTGGCCCAACAAGACCAACACCTACACCTATACCTGAAGACGACATGCCCCTCGACTTAAGAACTGTAATCCCCGAGACTCAGTTTGAGTGAACATTGAGTTTCCATAACCGACTTGAAATTACTATCTAGTAGTAACTCCTTCATATGGGACGCAGGTAAACATCATGTGTACAACTTTAATCTCGTACCATGTTTGTGTTACTTTTAGATACTTTCTAGATACTTTCGCGATTTAAACGTAGGTAGATCCTTATTACTAGTATTTGTTTGTGCGTGCTTTTTACTTTGGTACGTTTACCTACTGATAATTGGTAAAAATGTGAACGACTTTTTGTATTTCTCACCTGTAGCCGGTCAATAGGTACCCTGTGTGGGTAATGAGACCGCACTTCGTGTGGTTTCGGCGGTAGCAGTTCTTCTCATGTGTAGTTGTGATCAGTACGTGAAGGTGTAGTTCTACACAGTGATTCTTCCACTCATGTGCGATTTGGTTCTCGAAACCATTTACTAATTTGCTAGACACTGCTTCCTGGGAAAGAGAGTTCCACACTCTTGTGACTCTCGAAGAGAAGAAGCTCTTCCTTGTGCCCCGTGTGGTAGTTGAAAGACTGGGTTCAAACATGGTCCCTCTGTTGGTCCCTCTGGGTTCAAACATGGTCCTTCTTTGTATAATAAATATTTTATTTCTGGAAGAACATGAATGTCTTGGCTTGCTTGTTACTGTGAACCTACGGTACTGTACTGTACGGTGTGTGTATGTTGTAGTGAAGAAACGAAGCGTGCTTGCGATCGTGGAGTAGTGACCACTAAAACCGCTATAATTAAGAGACCGTTATCAAATCAAGAACAAGTAAAATCTGAGATTTTATACCTCCGGGCTTTTTATTGTATATTTTTCCATGTTGTTTGTTCTGTATAGTTGATGGTGTTGAATTTTATGTGTTAGATTTAGCGTTCCTGGTTGTGTTAATACAGGACTGGTCAACATTTTCATCTGCAGCCCATACCATGTACCCACGGTAAAAATGCATGTCGAGAACGTCTGAGACAGTATACCACGGTACTTGTAAGTTAAGAAGTCGTACTATACGCCGAAAACACCCAAGATTGCGCAAGAGGGCGTTGACCCCTGACCCATTGGCCCACCCGGAAGTTGCGCTGGCAGCCAGCCCAGCGCCGCGCGCGACAATTTTCAGATTTTTACGCCCCAAAACACATATACAATAAAACAAAAAAACCTGCACCATCTACAGCCCATTAGAAGAACATACACCGAGTCCAGTCTACCCCAACGCGAGATACAACTGCGATAATATTTCAAAATACATATCGGAAGCAGACACCCCTCTGTTTGACCCCTTTTAAATGGTAAGACCCAAAACTGAAACCTCCCCATTCCTTAACAACATGGTAAAT